CCTCCCCCAGTGACGGCCGAGCTGAGGTCCGCGGCTGGCATCCCCGAAGGCCAGCCTGAGTGCCACGCTGAACGGCAGGTGCTGTGGGATGGCACTGACTGCATAGGCATATTAGATTCTGCGCTGCCAGTTAAGGATCATGCCCAGTCTAACTGGAAAGACAAATGGATTGCATCCAAAAAGCTGAATTTTCAGGATTTCAGGTTTGTGAAGATGTAACCTAGAGGGAGATATTTGGCTCCATTTCCTTTGAGAATAAGTGTATCAAGGATGATCCTAAGTCATATAGGAGATTCTCTCTTTCTCTTACGAGTTCCATAAAAGTGAGGACTTGTCAAGATGTCCTGATCCTCTGGGACAATGTGGCAGAGAAGTCTGGGAGTGGAAGGTGGTTGACAGCACCTCTAGCTATGTGGAAAGTTCGGATGTTGTGTATCATACTTTGGTCCTTGGGGAATGCATTCCAATTTTTAATAAATAGCACTTTAAGGGAAGCTTCCTTTAGCTTATATCCTGTGCTAAATCATAAGTTTCTTAAAAGAGTTGTTGGACAGTATTTTCTCCCCTCAACATTCTTATTCTTGAAAATAATTATATTTGAGTTTTTAAAGCACCTGTTAATTCATAAAGATTTGGAAGAGAGAGGGGGAGATTATTGCAATATATTTGAGATAGAGTCATAAACTAACAATCTCTGTGCTGAACCCAAGACCATTGGGTATCTTGACATCATCTGAAATATACCGTGTTCAAAACTGAGTAATTCATTTGGAAAGTTCTTCAATGTCCTCTATGTGCTGATGCCCCACAGGGTCTCTCTACCAGATGTACAGCGTACAATGGAAGACTCAGAGACTCCAGGATGGGGAAAGCCACTAGAGGTAAGGAGCCTGGATCCCTGAGTCACCTGAGGAGGGTCTACATGAGTGAGAAATAAACCTACATCATGTTAGTCCACTGGATTTTGGAATTGATTCCATCAGTTAGCTTACTCTGACTAATTTTAGGTATAAAGGAGTTAGGCATATAGAGGAGAAGTGAAGAGAATTCCAAGAAACACATATAATAAGTTCACAGGACCTCAAATAGGAAGACATAATATGGGAACTGCAATGAGGCCATTATGGATAGAACATAGAGTAAAAGTTGGAATGGAAGGAGATGAGCCTAGAGAGGTGAACTAATTTGTTATTATTAATACTGTTGTTTTTAGGCTTTCCTCTTTCCAATCCATTTTAACCACTTAACATGCTTTATTGAGATATAATTCACATAATACAGTACGCCCGTTTTAAAATGTACAATTCAGTGGTTTTTAGC